TGCAGGTATCATGGCAAACCACGGAGAGGACAATTTGGATATTCGCACACTGATCAAGAATCAAGTGGCGGCAACTACTACGAACAGGGCCCCGACCGGTGTGCGCGGGAATCAGCCGTCTGCCCAAGGTAGTGGAGCGGGGCCAACAGTCAGACCGAAAAAACCCTCTCGGCCCCAGCCTGAAAAAAGAAGGCCTGACCCCAGGGCCGAGGAAGAGAGCCGCCGGGCCAAGCAGCGCCGAGTGGCGAGTTCACCTGTTCCGGAAAGCTTGGCTGGGCCGAGTTTTCTGGCCGGCAATGTCAACGCTCAGGATTTTCTGAGCCAAGACTTGACCTCCGAATCGGGTCAGGGGGTGCTGAGTTGTATGACCTCGGCTCAGAAATGGAGCTTCTTCTGTGAATTCCAAGTGCGTGTTGTGGCTTTAGCCCAAAGCATAGTGATGGAGCCGAATGGCAAGGCCGATGGATTGCGTCAGCAGCTAGCTGAGCAGGAGAAGTCTCTCCAAGAGACGCTGGCGGCGCTTACTGATGCCCAAACGGCCAACACCAAATACCAGGCCGAGGTGGATCGCCGGGGTCGAACAGTTGATGACCTGGCTCTAAAGGTTCAGCGTCTTGAACTTGCTTTGAAAAGCGAGACAAAGAAGGTTGCTATTTTGAGCAAGGAGCTGGAGGCCGAGAGGGTTGCTTTCGGGGCTTACAATGAGAAAGCGCGCAACAAGGTGTTAACTCAACATCAGGCTGGCTTTGCTCAGGCCGCCTGACAAGCATGCTTCTTCGGCGACTTCCCCCCTGAATTTCACCTGGACATGACCAAGGACTTCTTCCAGGGGAAGTTGGTGGACCTAACTTCTATCCTTTCTGTCCAACAAGCCGATGAGGAGGCCCCCGCACGGCCAGCTGGGCCGAACGAGGAGGTGACGGCGTACGAGGAGGGTGCGCCGGAGGATGGTACGGTTCAGGGGGAACCGGAGGTTAGGTCTTAAGCTTTTGTCTTGGTTTTTGTAATGTTGGGCCGATAGTGCCCCTTCTTTAATGTATCTTTTGCAAGGCCGGTAGTGCCTTATTGAATGAATTTTACTTTTGTTGCCGTTGCATACTGGTGTAAATTTTTCTTTAGATGATAACAACTCGATTGATGTAAGACGCCTCCTTATTCGAGAAAGATTTCGGGAGGGAAAACTAATTAAAGCCACATCTTTGGCCGAGAGACATCTCGGGAGGGAAGACTTGTAAAATCTGAAAGTCACATCCTTGGCCGAGAGACATCTCGGGAGGGAAGACTTGTGAAATTAATGAAAGTCACATCCTTGGCCGAGAGACATCTCGGGAGGGAAGACTTGTAAAATCAGTGAAAGTCACATCCTTGGCCGAGAGACATCTCGGGAGGGAAGACTTGTGAAATTAATGAAAGTCACATCCTTGGCCGAGAGACATCTCGGGAGGGAAGACTTGTAAAATCAGTGAAAGTCACATCCTTGGCCGAGAGACATCTCGGGAGGGAAGACTTGTGAAATTAATGAAAGTCACATCCTTGGCCGAGAGACATCTCGGGAGGGAAGACTTGTAAAATTTTAACATAAGGACGCAATAATATTGACAAGCTTTGAATACTGAGAATGCTTTTTCATTAATGGACTGATGCCTCGTTAAAAACCTTGCCGACCAAAAACCCCTTTTCACAATTTTATAAGAGGAAAAAAGATCGGTTCAAGGAAAAGAGTGCATCATTTTACACATAGTTGAAATGCAAATACAAGTTTAGCTGTAATATGTCTTCAGATGAGTGGAGTTCCAAGTTCTTGGTATGATCTTGCCCGACAGTTCTTCTAACTTGTAAGCCCCATTGTGGAGGGCATGTCGTATCCGGAATGGGCCATCCCAATTGGCCGCCAGCTTTCCTTCAGAAGAGTTGCGCCTTGCCGACCCGGTTGCTCTCCACACGAGATCACCCTCATGAAATGTCCTCGGCTTTAGATTGGAATTAAAGCGTCGGGTCATGCGTTGTTTACATGCCTCGACCTTTATCTGCGCGTTCGTTCGTATTTCATCCAGAACATCCAGTTCGGCTTGGAGTGAGTCATCATTAGACTTCTCATGGAAGTGTTGTCGCCTGAAGGACGGTTCCCCTACTTCAACTGGGATCATCGCATCCGCACCGTATGTTAGGCGAAAAGGCGTCTCCTTGGTGGTTGATTGGGGGGTGCATCGATATGCCCAAAAGACTTCTGGTAGCTCTTCGGCCCATGCTCCTTTTGCCGAACCGAGTCTCTTCTTGAGCTCAGTGAGTATAACCTTGTTGGCTGCTTCGACCTGCCCGTTTGACTGAGGATGCTCCACTGATGTGAATCGGTGCCGAATGCCCAGGTTTTCAAGGAAAATGTTGAACTTCTTATTAGTGAATTGAAGACCATTGTCCGAAACAATGGCATACGGGATGCCGAAGTGGGTAACCAGGTTTTTCCAAACAAACTTCTGAACGTTGGCTGCGGAGATGTAGGCGAGCGGTTCGGCTTCTATCCACTTTGTAAAGTAATCTATCGCGACGAGAAGGAATTTAACCTGGCCTTTTGCTACAAGGAACGGACAGAGCACGTCTATCCAAACGACCACGGGGAGCTGATACTGTGCAACTCGGTAGCCGAAGCGTGGATGAGGTTTCCATGGTTTTGACATTGTACACATTTTTTAACAAACTCAGCACAATCTCTTTTCAAAGTTGGCCAATAGTATCCGGCACGCAGGACCTTGGCTACCAAGGTTCGCCCCCCGGAGTGAGAACCACAAATACCTTCATGGAATTCCCGCATAACATAATCGGCTTGTAGGTTGTCGACGCATTTGAGCAACGGGGTGGAGAATCCTCGCCTGTAGAGCTCGTCGGCTACTATGGAGTACCGAGCCGCTTGTGTTCGTATCTTTTTGGCGTCTATCGGATCAGTTGGTAATTCCCCTTGGACAATAAAGCTCCGAATGGCCGTTATCCAGGTCGATGTCTGAGTGTCAGTTGCCAAGCACTCCACTGTCACACTTGGGGAAGGAATCTCCAGGTGAATGGTTGTGCGCAATTGTCCTGGTTTCCGGCTGCTGGCGAGCCGAGCTAACTGATCGGCTCGTTCATTGTTGCTTCGTAGGACATGTCGTATCTGAACCTCAGTGAAGTCGTCCTTGAGTTTTTGGAAGAGGTGGTAGTATTGCAACAGATTGGAGTCTTTGACCTGAAAGTTATCATTGACCTGTTCGGCCACGATTTTCGAGTCGGTCCAGCACCTGACTTTTTTCACGCCCATCTCGGTTGCTAACCGCATCCCAGCCAGCAAGGCTTCATATTCCGCTTGGTTGTTAGATGCTCGGAAACCGAAGTGAAGGGATTGTTCTCTGGTGATGCCTGAGGGACTAGTCAAAATTATACCTGCCCCACTTCCTTGGGCATTAGAGGATCCATCGACATGCATGGTCCATGGTTCGTCTTCAAAATGACCTTGAGGAGTGAGCTCGTTGACAAAGTCAGCTAAATGCTGTGTCTTGATGAGGCCTCTTGGCTCGAAAGATACGTCAAACTCTGAAAGTTCGACCGACCATGCCATCATCCGGCCGGCAATCTCTGGTTTTCTTAGGACTTTTGCAATTGGACAATCAGTTCGGACAACTATCTTGTGACTTTGGAAGTACTGCCTGAGCCGGCGGGTGGTGTAGATGAGCCCTAAGACTACTTTTTCTATCAACTGGTAGCGTCGTTCGGCATCCTGTAGTGTCCGACTGATGAAATACACCAGTTGTTGTTCGTCTTGCTTCTCTTGAATCAGGACAAACTTTTTCTATCAACTGGTAGCGTCGTTCGGCATCCTGTAGTGTCCGACTGATGAAATACACCGGTTGTTGTTCGTCTTGCTTCTCTTGAATCAGGACGGCACTGATTGAAGTGCCGGAGACAGCTAAATACACAACCATGCCGAGGTTGGCAACTGGTTTGGAAAGGATCGGAGGTGTACTGAGACGCTCCTTGAATTGTTGGAATGATGCTTCACACTCTGGGGTCCATCTGACCCGCTCCGTCTTCTTCAGTAAGAGAATGATAGGTTTAGCTATCTCGGCTAGGCAAGGAAGGAACTGAGAGAGTGAGGTGAGTCGGCCTGCCAACTTCTGAACCTCTTTCAGAGTACCTGGACTTTTCATATCTAGAATGGTTTGGCATTTGTCGGGGTTTGCATCAATGCCTCGGTTGGACAACATGAACTCCAGAAATTTTCCACCTGAGACCCCGAACACGCATTTTTCGGGATTAAGTCTCATCTGATGTTGCCGAAGCGCTTGGAAGACATCAGTCAGGTCACGCACGTGCGTGGAAATGTCGCTTGATTTGACGACCATGTCGTCAACATACACTTCCATACTTCGACCAATCTGTTCATGAAAAATTTTATTCATCAAACGCTGATACGTGGCTCCGGCGTTTTTCAACCCAAAAGGCATGACCCGATAGCAGTAGTTGGTCGTTTCAGTAATGAATGCCGTCTTTTCTTCATCTTGGGGATGCATACGAATCTGGTTGTATCCTGAGTATGCATCCAAGAAAGACAAGAATTTGTGACCCGATGCTCCATTAACGAGTCGATCAATATTCGGCAATGGGTAGGCGTCTTTCGGACAGGCTTTGTTCAAGTTTGTGTAATCAGTACACATCCCCCACTTCCCATCCGTTTTCCGAACCATGACAACGTGGGCCAGCCATGTCGTATAGTGCACTTCTCGGATGAACCGAGCATCTAGAAGTTTTGATACTTCAACTTCGATCGCGACTTTCCTCTCTTCTCCGGCCTTTCGATGCCGCTGTGCAATCGGCTTTGCCTCTTTGCTGATTGAAATCTTGTGGCAAAGGAAATCCGGGTCAATGCCAGGCATGTCGGAAGGATGCCATGCAAACAAGTCTTTGTTGTCAAGAATTACTTGTCCGATAGCACTTTTTTCTTGTTCAGAGAGGACGGTCCCTAGGTAAGTAAGCTAGGAGTCCGAAGCTCCAACTTGAATCGATTGCTTATCTTCAATAGGTTCTACCCTCTCTTCTTGATCGATCCGGGGGTCGAGGTCCATGGCCGATTGCTGTGAGACCGAGTGAACGCCTCTCGGCTCCTTAGGCGCTTCGTCCTTCACTCTTGGTAATCGCAAGCTGGCAAAGTAGCACTCTCGTGCAGTCTTCTGATCAGCATGAACCGTGATGACTCGTCGTGACTCGGCCGGGAACTTCATGGCTAAATGAAGGGTGGATACAACCGCCCCAAGTCGATTCAGGGATGGCCGGCCGAGTAAAATATTATAAGATGTGCTGGCATGAACTACCACATATTTGACCGAGATGTCATGATATTCGGCTCCTTCAAACCCAAACCGGGTTGACAACTTGATATATCCCTTTGTCTTGACTCGTTCGCCTGAGAACCCAACCAGAGGTTCATCATAAGGAATTAGCTTGGATTCTGGAATACCCAACTGCTTGAACGTGTTCCAATACAGGATGTTAGCTGAACTTCCCTGATCAACCAATGTTTTACGTACAATACAATTGTGAATTTCAACACTGATTACCATCGGATCATCTTGGTACGGGTCGATGCCTTTGAAGTCGGCCTCGGTGAAAGTGATGGTAGGAAGGCGGCGACGAACTGTTTCTACTGCATGCACGTGCCGAACGGCTCGCAGGTGTCTTCGTTGGGCCGATGAGGATGAGCCCCCGCCAGCGAATCCACCAGCTATGGTGTTGACGACCCGCCTAGGTTGTGCCGAAGGCTCTTCCTCTCGCCTATCTCTCGACCGACTACGTTCCCTGTATGAGTGCGTTCCTGCTCTCCTCTGCTCGGGCTGGTCATGCCACCGAGACCGGTCGGCGTGTCAGGATGAGGTCGGACGGTCTATGAACCCTTGCAGTTGCCCCTGCTTGATTAAGTCTTCAATTTTGTCTTTCAAAGCCGCGCATTCCTCTGTGGAATGCCCCCGATTAAGGTGGTACCTGCAAGACTTTGTTGTATCAGCCCTGGAGGGGTCGAAGCTCGTTTTGGGACTGCTAGCACCTCTGAGGCAAGTGCTTGCTCTAGGACGGCCGATCTACTTGTATTAAGTGGTGTATATTGTGAGTATCTCGGCCCGCGAGGAGGCTTCTCGCGAGGAATCAGCTCTTTCGGACGACTCCGGAAATTAGTCTCGGCCGGCTTGTCAAGTTTTGCCGACACCTCTGCCCGGGCTTGGTTTCGAAACTCAGCCAATTCTTCCATCTGCATGTATTTGTCAGCTTGTCGACGCAAATCATCCATGTCAGTAGGGGGTTTCTTACAAATGCTGTTGGCGAAAGGCCCTGGTTTCAAGGCGGTGGTAAGGTGGTGCAGAGCTACAGCAGGGTTCAGGTCTCGGATTTCAAGCGCCGCCTTGTTGAATCGGCTCATGAACGCCCGAAGGGACTCCTTTTTCTCCTGACGGATGCTAACTAGTGCCAAAGAGGTCAACTGGTGGGGCCGTCTTGTAGCGAACTGGATGGTGAACTGGGAGGCTAATGTGTTGAACGAGTCAACGAAATTAGCAGGAAGCCGAGTAAACCAACTCAGTGCTCGCCCTTTTAATGATGTTGGGAAGATTCGGCACAAGGCGGCGTCATCAGTAGTGCTTAGAGTAACTTGAGTTAATAACACATCGACATGCTCATCTGGGTCGGTGGTACCATCATACTTGTCTAGAGGCAATGACTTCCAATGGTCAAGAAGTGTAGACTGCATGATGTTTGGGGTAAAGGGGTGTCGGTGTGCTCCGGCCGGCGTCGGTTGTATCGGCCGGCTGACCGAAGCATGGATGGCTGGGGCAGCAACAGAAGTATGTGGGATAGAGGTGTGATGGTCGTGCGAGTGGAACGACCCTTGGGTTGTCTCAGAGGGTTTCCATGTGGGATCCTGGTACTGGTTCTTGAGGGCAGCATTCTCTGCTCGCAACGCGGCCATCTCGGCGGCATCTCTTTCCCGCTGCTGTTTCATGGTGGCCATTTCCTCCTTCATTTGGCGTACCATATCAGTCAAGTTTGTCTCCTCTACTGTCTCGGCATTGTCCGCCCCGGACTGGTGCTCATCTTCGGACTGGTGGTCTTCAACGTTGTTTCTTCTTGTCTTTGCCATAATGTCTTCAAAAAGTCTTCACAGCTATCGGTTCGGCCCCACGGTGGGCGCCAAATTGTACCTGCCTGAGGGTACTCTCGTAGTCTTCTTGGTGGTGAAGGGCCGAACGGATGCTTCAAACAGACTCTTCAAAGGGGGGAGGTACCTGCAAAAGGCACTCCGACGCTCAAGTTAGGACAAGCACGATATTCTAGGACAATTAATGAACAGTGACGTACCTCGTTACGTGTAACCTATTTATAATACCTGACATGGGCCTGAACGTGGTGGGCCTATTCTAATCTTTACCAAATTAGGTAATACGATGCTAATCAGCTAATCATGTCTTAATTATGCACTTGTCCTTGTTAACTGATTTGTACTATAACCCGTTTAACCTATCGGCACATTGCCGAGCCGACATGCTAATGCTCGGGGGTTGCATGTCTTCGGCTGTTGGCCGGGCCGGTAAACGTTTACTTGGTAATCCTATCGGATCGGCATTGGGCCGAGCCGATACGTAGTATGCGGGGATGCATCATGTTGTTTGCATCGGCCTTCAGCCGAGCCGATATGTGCCAGTTGACTAATCTCGGCCTTCGGCTATAAGTCGAGTCGACGCTAACGTCAGCCTTGGGTATGGTCCAGTTCACATGGGTGTCTGACGGAACGGCACGTGTTGGTCAACGTGACCGATAGGGTCCTCCCGGTACAATACATAAAATTCGTTAAATTTAAAGTCAGGTGTGCAAAGTCTTTTATTCTTTTAATAAATTTCCATCTATAATAAAAATATATTCGACAGATGTACTGTTAGAATTTCTTGAGAAAGATAGGTATTACGTACATTCCGCTTGTCCACTTTTTTATTTATATATATATTCAATTTGGATTTTATATGTTGGAAAAGAACACTAATTAAAAAATAAAAATAAAATTTATTTTTTTTTAAATTTTGGCTAAAATTTACTTTTGTTTCTTATAATATTAAATTCAAAATTTTGATCAATTCATTGCATATTTATTTATAAATTATTAAAATTGTAATATTTGTTCTAATCTAATATTAGATAAATGATATAATAAATATTATTTAATTTTTCATTTTTAATTTGTATTTTTATTTTATTTTCATCTTATTTTATAACTTTTATGATATAAAAATAAAAATTAAAAGTGAAATTTATCTTGAATCTTATTAAATATTAATTATTATATCATCTATTTAATTTCAAACTATGATTGATATTATAATTTTAATGATCAATAGATAAACATTCAATAAAAAGAACAAATTTACGAATTTTATAAAATTGAGGAACTAAATTTATATAAATAAAAATAAAGAGACTAAAATTGTAGATTTAATATTATATGAGGACCTAAAATACGATATAACTTAGAAAAATTAACACATAGATCTTTTTGTGAAACTTTGATATATTTTTTTAATAAAAATATATATATTAATTCTTTAAGCAATACTCTTGAGCAACCATTTAATTAGTACCATTTTCTTCTCACATATTTTATATATAGGACACTTTAGAAAAAGAAAATTAATTAAATTGGAAGGTTTAACCATAATACTTATTACGTGGTTTACAATATCAATTAATAAAAGTAAAAGACTAATAAAAGTTAGAAATTAAGTCAGGATATCACATTTTAAAAAAAATTATTATAATTATAATCTATACTATTATATAAGCCTATAAAGGAACACTCATTCCTATAATTGTTTTTCTTTCATCTTTATTTGCTACAACTTTCTAAAATCACATTCTCTTACATCACTAACATCAGTATCTATGTTTTTTTTTATTTAATACTTTCAAAAACTATTTAAAAGTAACCGTTTATTTTTCATTTTTAATTTAATTCTGATACTACTTTTAAAATATTTTTAATATTATGCAACAATAAAATGTCTTTTTCTTTCTAGTTATAATATAGATTATATATATATATATATATATATATATGAGTAAATACTCAATTTGGTTATTGAAGGATTGTAGAAGAGGTTGATAGGTTCCTCAAAGATTTTTTTGTGGCATTTAAGTCCTTAAATTTTAACTTCATTATGCAAGTTAGTCCTTCATTATACTCAGTTACTAACTATATTGGTTTTTGTTAGTAGTTAAGTGTTAGTTTGACACCTATTCTCTTCCCTAGTTGGCTTTAGTTAAAAATGAAGGTTGTTTGTTGGGTTTCATAGAATTTTATGTAGTTGGATATTTGTGTCTCAACCATTCTTAATTTCTTCATTTGTGTTAGCTATATGTTTGGGATTGTAAAGTCTAAATTATTGAATTTGAAGTTTAGTAAAATGTGTAGTTATTCATAAATATCTTAAGAAAGTTGTAACATTGTGTGATTTTGAGTTTATTGATTAATCATATAATTTATGATGTTTGATTATGAATTATTATGATTAATGTTGTTTTAGAGCTTTAATGGTCAATGGATCCTTGAGAGTTAAGTTGTTGGTAAGGTAATTTTAGTTATAGAAGTTAGTCTAGCCTAAAGAAGGGTATATAAGGTTTTTCTTAAGACATGAATCTCATAAGCTCATATCTTAAGAAAAGTATAGAGAAGTTAGAGAAAGAGACTCTAGAACCAAAAAAATTATTCCTTTTTATGTTTCCAATGATACCTTCTAAATCTTTCCTACAACTAATTTGAGTTGGTAGAGTTGGAGATTCAAGCTTCAGGAATTGAAAATCTCAAGTTGAGAAAGTTATCCTGTAACATAGTTAGTAGCCCAGAACGGGTCATTCCCAAATTGGAACGGGCCGTTCCAAACTACTAAAAAAAGGGTGATTTAGTAGCCCAGAACGGGTCGTTCCCAAACTGGAACGGGCCGTTCTGAACTACTAAATAGGCATATAAATACTTGTTGGGAACGGCCCGTTCCAAATAGGATCGTTGTGAGTTAAATGCCACCCCAGAATGGGCCATTTTGCATGTGAGTTTTACACATGACGTTTGAGTGCAGAACGGGTCGTTCCGGATTCAAAACGGGCTGTTCTAGCCACTCCAAACTTCTATAAATAGGCCACATGAGGAGAAAGAAGGGGAACTTAGAGAGAGGTTTTAGAGAGAAGTTTTAGAAAGAAGGACTCTAGGTCTGTGAGTTCCTTTCTTTCCCAAATTTCTCTGTATGATTCTTCTTTTCTTCTAGATCTCTAATCTCTTCTGTCTTTTCTTGAAATTTAAACTAGGAAGCTTGCTTTGATGGATTGAAGTTCTAGGTTGAGCTTCGGAAGGAAATTCTACTTCTCCTCAGTTCTTGGCCATTTTGAGCCAGGTGAGGGAAGCTAGAATGTTTGTCGTTTAGTTGCATGGGAGTTTAGTGACTCAATTGATGCATGAAAGTCGAGGATCCATGGCTGGATCGAAGAATTCACTCATTTTTCGGGGTTTTGGGAAAAATGGGGTTTTTGGTGATTTTGGTGCATCAGATGGGTGCATGTTGATTTTGAGTTTGATTTTATGTTGTATGGAGCTTATGCATTGTGTTTTTTGTGTTTGCATGTGGTTGGATTTGCTGGTTTGGATGAGTTTTTGAACTCTCTGATTGGGATTAGGCCGGGTGCAGGTTGAGCGCGCTGGGCATGGAAGAGCTTAGGGCTCTCGGGTTGGATGTTAGGCCGGGCGTGATTTGGTTGTGCCGAGCGTGAGTGGGTTTGATGTTTTTGGATTGAAATTGATGTTCATGCATGTTTAAAGTTAAAGTTTTAGATCATGTATGTATGATATATGATGTATGGTGAGGTGTGATTCATATGTATGTTAGGTCAGACAAAGCAATTCCTAGAAAAAGTTTTGAATATGACAAATATAATACATATTATTATTACTGATCTAGATAGTATCGTTTCATATATGTATAAGAGCAGGGAAAGCCAAAACATGAAGTAAGGATCAGACGAATCAAGCCAAATGTTAGAAGAATCATGAATTGTGCGTCAGACGACAAATATCAAACGAAGAAGTATCAAGAGAAACTCAAAGTGCAATAGAAGAAAATAGAAACAAGAGGAAAGCTAGATCAAGTCAAAATTGGCTCAAGCACTAAACATTAGATGAAGCTCAAGGGTCAACAAAAACCATCAACAATACAAAGACGAAGAAACATTCCAGACGGAATTAGTTATTTATCCACAAGACTGACTAGACGAGATGAAAGTGTCAAAGTCTAACTCTTAGACGAAGACTCAACTTCTAGACGCAAACGAAGCATGATGAAAAGCGTCTAGAGTCCACTAATCACAACGATTAAAATCATACATCATCTCCATCTATAAGAAAAGCGCACAGAGTTATCAGAGTTATGAAAGGAAAGAAAAAAATGAAAGAGAACGAATTCACAAGTCAAAGCTGCGTATGTTAGAGCAAGTACACCTACTTTTCAGAAAAAGGCAACGCTTTCACAGCTACGATGACGAAAAAAGGACAAACATACCTAGGTCATGATTGAAGTCAGAAATGAAAGGGAACAAATTACACAAAGGACTTCATGTAACACAGATTTAGCAAGCAAGCATTTAAAGCAAAATCAAATACATTAAATAAAGAAGATCTGTGAAGCCATGGACGTTCAAGTATCTGCACCAACAGAAAACTCCGCTCCAACGGACACATTCAAATTCAAACAACGGGCAGATTCATCATAAGGATATCAATATCAAGATCTGAGTAGAGAAAAACAAGAAGAGAAACATCAAGCAATATATGAGAACAAGCGTCAAACCAACTTACATCTATTCTCGTTCAAATTTGAATATCAGTTTGAAACTAAGACAGTTTATCTTAGTGAGTGTAGAAAATATTTGGTTAAAAACCTTATTTGGTCCCATATAATATTTTTTTTGTTTCAATTTAGTCCCACTTTAATTTTTGATTTCAATTTGGTCCCCAATAATTTAAATTATTGCAATTTGGGACTTCCGTCCAAATGATTTAAACAGAGTTAACTGTTAGCCACGTGGATGCCACGTGGATGCCACGTAGAT